ATTGCCAAACCACAAATTCGTTCCTACTTGGGCCAGGTTTTGTTTTTTGAATTGCTTCTCTCATTCTTTGATGTTCCACTATCTTTTCTTTCGTCATTGCCATTTGTTTACCCTTAAGCTTTCTTATTTACACAGCAAGAGCAACATTCTTCTCCCTGTCATTTCTCAACAAAAACTTGATCCCGACATCATTTTCCCTTTGAAAAGCTTCTCCGATATAAGCCAAGGTAAGATATCTCGATTACAACTCTTCAACATACATATAGGTACAAAAAGGTTTCTAGTTTTCCCCATAATTTCTTTTCGATTCTTGCAGTTCTTTTGCCTCGAAGGCTCCGATTGCAATAGCATAAACTACAAGAAGCCAAACTCAGATTCTCAGCGACATTAAAACTTAACCCACAAACAAAGTAAGTATCTTTGTGTTTCAAGTTCCTTAGCATTTGCGCGAAGTGAGGAACAAAAACCTTAGTAGCCTGAGCTTGAATTCATAGAGTAGGTTTGTGAATCCACTCTGTTTTGTGCTTTTTACCTATTGTAGCAAATTATCTTAATTATCAAAATCGAATCTCTCAAGATTCTGCTTTCTTCAGGATTAGTGTGTGAGTATGTAACTATGTAATAATTAAAATTAGTCATCCTAAAAGGCCAGTTCACGTTCATACTTAACGGCTAGTTTATATTATATGGTTTGTTATGTGGATTCTCCTAGTGGAAAGAGCCAGGTGCTGAAAGCAAGAGACTTGTCCATATAATCATTTTCTCACCAGTTTTTTAATGTTGATTTCGTTAAAGTAGCTTTTTGGATCACGATCGCTTAATCATGTTAATTACTTTCGAATTTGGTGTTAAAGTTGTTGAATATGATTCGGGATCCTAGACCCTTAGCACTCGGCCACTCACTATTGCAAAACACATTAACTTGTAAAATATGTTAACTGAGTTACATTTGTACAATATGTTACATTTGTATAAGATGAGTTTGCATTCCAATGTTATGGATTTTTGCCGGTTAATTACTTCTAAAATTTTCCACATATATATTATTAGTCTTTTAGCAAAAAAAAAAAATATATATATTATTAGTCATGGTATGGATATGGACAGTAGAATGAATCATGACCAAAATTTTCGTTCATATGTGATCAATAGAGTATATAATAATCACAGAAAAAAAACATTATTCATTTCAGGTTCTGTTTGAAAACTACTAGTAGTAAATACTGTATGTGAACTGAAAGTGTTAAACAGTAAACAGTCAACCATAGTTGGTGAGTCAAATTGAGTAGTAATTATTATTACAGACAGATAAAATAATTAAATGAAGTAAAAAAGGTTATATCATTCTGTTCACGTGGTGGAGCTATAGATATGCCATTAAAACGGTCAGTTTTGATTTTAGCGTCCATTACCCACAGGCCCCACTCGACCCGACCCGCTCCTCCACTGTTTTCCCACTTTAACCTTCCCGAAAAACGACGTCGTATATCTTCCCATGCTAATAACCGTTACCACTCTAAAATTACAATAATACCCTCTCCTTCTTCTTCATTATCAATTCGAATCCATTTTCCCACCACGGTATCAGC